TATATTCCTGAATTCCCCTTAGTTGTAAGCCCAATGCCCTTGAACTCAGGATTATACCCTCCATCAGAATAAGGATCCTGTAAGGTATACGGGTAGTTCTCGAACTTCGGGTCCTTAGATGGGTCCCCGATATCGTACGGCACCCAATAAAAGAGGATCCCCAAAAAGGGACCCTTTGCAGAGAGCTACCTCTACTAACCCGCAGCCCAGATGCAAGGGGTGTTCACAGAGACCCCAAGACCCCCGAATCAAGGAATATTCCTTAAACCATAAAAAGGAACCCTCTTACAGTTTAAGGAATATTCCTTAAACCATAATAAGGAACCCTCTTACAGTTTAAGGAATATTCCTTAAACCATAATAAGGAACCCTCTTATAGTTTAAGGAATATTCCTTAAACCATAATAAGGAACCCTCTTATAGTTTAAGGAATATTCCTTAAACCATAAGAAGGAGCCCTCTTATAGTTTAAGGAATAGTCCTTATGTAAGTGGTATTGGAGTCCCCGGGTTGGGCTCTTTGGGTTCATGTGTGCAGCTCATTCGAGGCGCGCGGGTTCGGTTTGGGCTGGGGAAAAATTTGGGGTGTAGGGTTTAGGGTTTAGGGTTTGCTCGCTTAACCTCTCCTACTATCTTTAGCTATCCCCTTAAAAAGAAGCCAGAACTATTATCTAGGTAGGCCCTGGAAAATGTTTTCTATTTTCCCCTTATTGGGTTTAAGAGGATCATAATCAGGGATCTTTTTCCGAGGGGCCCTGGTGGGTGGGTGATGACTGCAGCCTTCACTTGGGTGTGAAATGTTATTTGCGCCAAGGGTCTTGCGAACCGGGCCCCAGGGCGAGCGTTGGGGCTCTTCTGACTGTCTCGTCTGTGATTTGGGGAGGTTCCTTGGATTTGGCTAGTCCCAAGCCCAGTTGGAAAAAAAAGAATCAAGTCCGGTTGCAGCTTTGACGAACCGTTTCTCGTTATTCAGATTGGTTTGTCTTAGGTAGGATAAGGGGGACCCTTAAAAGGGAACCCTTCTTAACTCTCTTCTGGCTCTCTTAAACAGGGACCTTATTGAGAGGGTCTATGTCCCCCTAATACCCTAGTTTGGGGGACTCTCCTTCAAACGCATGGCCAGTCGCGCGAGAAGCTCGACAGCGTGGACAAGAGGTTGAGAGCCCGGCTGGCGACGGCCATGGCCCAAGTTCCATGAGTCGACCCGAAACCCCTTCAAACCCCCAAGAAAGTCATTTTTTGTTGTTTCCGTTGCTTTTGGTCAGATTTAGTAAGCAGGAAAGGAGAAGGGAAGGAAGGAAACGGCATGACATCCTGAGGAATGGCTTCCAAACCCATACTTGAACCCTATCCAAACCCGACATGCAAGCCATTGTGTTGCACGTGAAGGTGGGGGAAGGGGGGTGCGCGCCCTCCCCCCCCCTCAACCCCCCCCCGGCTTTTTGTAAAGCCGCGCAAGCTTGTGCTCAAGATCTTGCTGCCGTCCAGGGGAATGGCTTCAACAACCAATTCAATCCTCTCGATCCTGTAAAACAAACACAGGTTCGATCTAGCATGGCTATATTGTTTTTTCGTTTAGTTATGATCGTCCTATCGCATGTGCTGATTATAGCTTTTAAAACTGAGAAGCGTATCACAAGAACGTATCAATCATGTCATATCATGTCATATCACATCATATCATATCATATCATATCTGTACATATATATATGTATGTATGTTGATACATTGCGTATATGTTTATGTGCATGTTTACATATCTACATGTACACACGGAATGACGGGTGTATGTATATATATATATATATGTATATATACACGTATAGAGTGCATGTATTATTTGTTCTTTACGTCCCATTTGTATCACAATCATACGTGCTTTGTGTGTTTCATGAGTACGTGCAGTACATTACGTGCTTTATTTGTTATATGATGGTACGTAGTATGAGTTTTGTGTAACACATGCGTGTTCAAGAATGGTGTTGTAATGTATCTATATATGTATTTCTGTTCAGAATGTGTATATATCATGCATATGCACATAACACGACTTGATATTTTTGTATTGGATTTTGTGCATAATGAATGCCATGTTTATAATACAGAAATTCAAGCATTTCTTATGTGGAAAGTGTTTATTTCTACTGCAGGTTCATCACATATTTATGGTCTTTTGGTGGCCTGTGCGTATGTGAACACACCTCACATTGCATCTTTCCTATTTTCTAACCGTGTACTGTTGTTTAAACGAGACCTTGCATCAACTTCTCCTCGGGTTTAAGGTTTAGGGTTTGGGACTTCCTTTAAACTCCTTTTGGTTTTTCGTGGCAAAACAACATGCGCATCTCCGCGGGCAGTTTAAACCGTAGCACCCTGTTTCTGTGGGCCTATAAATTCAAGCAAGACAGGACTACAGGACCTTGAATACTTACCTATCTTGTCCCCTTTGGGAACCCTTGTACTTTCAAAATGGCAACAACCCCAACATACCCACCCCTACTCTAAAAAGGCCCCTACAAATTACCCCAGCCCACGGACAGACATGCTGTGCTATCCACAGGCTTTGTGGCCCCGGGTCGGTCGAGCAGAAAAGGCAAGCCGAATCGTCCTTGAGGATTCAGGCTTTAGGGTTTAGGGTGTTAGGTTTTTTCAAAAGAAGGGAGCCCTGAAGCAAAAAAGGTTCTAGGGTTTAGTGCTTTGGGGTTTGCGGGTTTAGGGTTTCGTGTGCAGTTTAGGGCTTTAGAGTCTCCAAGCAGTCTGTTGCCGTGACGGGTGGGCGGCGGCCCTTGTTTGTGCTGTTCTTTACCTGTGTCGCAGCTTTGCGGGCTTGATTGTGCAGGATCCCAGCCCCCTGAGACCCAAACTCCGAAGCCTATGAGAGACCCAAGGCCAAACCCTAATTATAGGAGCCCCCAAAACCCAAAACCCCACAGGCTTCGAACCCCAGACCCTGTCTGCCCCTAAAGACGCAGCTGGCAACAATGCCCTACACCCTAAACGCTGAACCCTAAACTCTAAAACCCTGAACCCTGAATTTCAACAGCGAAAAGCTGGGCTGGTCACAAAGAACTCACGGGGTGACAGGGCGGCCTTGTCATGATGCATTTTCCTACCTTTGAGGACATAAGGCGTCAATTGCTTGCTAGGACATCCGTGAAGACGCCGAGCCTGTCATTTCATCCTGACTTGTAAGACTTGACTTCGCATTGCGGCCCGCCACCCTAGCCGCCTTGCCTGTGGAGACCGCATCACAAAGAAGTCCGGTTGAAGCCTGAAACCCCTCAGACCCTTATGGGGGGTTTAGGGTTTAGGGTTTAGGAACCCCAACCCCCCCCTCGTAGCGAAAAGCTGCGCGGTGAGGATGCCCGCGTGGCCCCGACGAAGCGGGCAAGCAAGGCCGGCTGTGGGTTTACTTGGAGGCCGAAAATTCGAGTTTAGGGTTTGGGTTTTGGGTCCTGAACCCTAAGCCCTAAACCCTAGAAAAAAACCCGAAACCCTAAACCCTAAACCCGAAACCCTAAACCCTAAACCCTAAACCCGAAACCCGAAACCCGAAACCCGAAACCCGAAACCCTAAACCCTAAACCCGAAACCCGAAACCCTAAACCCTAAACCCGAAACCCTAAACCCTAAACTTACCCCTTGAGGGGTTTGCAGGGTTTAGGTTTGAGGGCTTCGGGGCTTTCGGGCCTGGGAGCGGAGCACCCCACATGCCTCGCCAGAGGGCCAGATCGCCCCTTCAGAGTTTAGGGTTAGGGTTTCGCGGTTTAGGGGTTTTAGGGGTTTTTAGGGTTTTTAGGGGGTTTTTAGGGGCTTTTAAGGGGTTTTTAGGGGTTTTTAGGGGTTTTAAAGGGGTTTTTAGGGGTTGTTAGGGGTTTTTTGGGGGTTTTTTAGGGGTTTTTCGGGGTTTTTAGGGTGCAGGCTTTTGGGTTTAGGGATTAGGGCCGGGTTGAGGGTTTAGGGTTTCTAGGGGTTTTTAGGGTGTTTAGTGAGGGTTTAGGGTCCTGAAGGTTTAGGGATTTTAGGTTTAGGGTGCTCAGGGTCCTCTCACAAACAACGCAAAGAAAGGAACACTCTTGGCATATTCCTGAACAAGATCCTCTGAATCCCATTCAATAAGGGAAAGGTCTCATTTTTAAAGGGACCCTGTGGTACCAACAGGAACCTGTGTTTTTTAGGAATATTCCTTAAGTACGGGTTTTTGGAGTCCCTGGGGCCCGAAACCCTAAACCCTAAAAAAGAACCCTAAACCCCAAACCCCAAACCCCAAACCCCAAACCCCAAACCCCAAACCCCAAACCCCAAACCCCAAACCCCAAACCCTAAACCCTAAGCCCTAAACCCTAAACCCTAAACCCTAAGCCCTAAACCCTAAACCCTAAACCCTAAACCCCAACCCCACCGCCAACGCCGCCTCTGCACCAGGCCTTCGCTGCCATCCACGCAGACACTCGGCGCAAGGCCCTGACGCTGCACCTCTACGGCTTGGGAGCCCAGGGTTTAGGGTTTAGGGTTTGGGGTTTGAGGTTTAGGGTTTAGAGTTTAGGGGGGCTGTGCTTGGAGGGTGGTTAGAAACTAGAAGCATGGTAACTGTACATTTATGTTGTTTGGGGGTACTTTTTGCCCTACCTGTAACTGCCCATGAACCTGCAAGTAGTGAAGGGGTGATAACCCTGTGTAGGATACTTGAACCCTCTAGCGATAACTCTTCATGCACCTGGGAGTGTCAATTGCAGCACACTCAAATTCTCAGTGACCCTGTTCCAAGGAAGTGCTCTGACAGCGGGCTACAATGCTTGAGTAAAGCCTGTATGGGCTCAAGTGTTGTTAGTGGAAGAATGCGGTTGTACACAATTGTGTGATGGGCAGTTCCCAAAAAACGAGGTTGCCCTTTGCCTCAAGCATGGTCTCATCCCCTCATGCAAGCAAAGCAGGCACCCCGATTTTTTGGGGCATGGCGAAGATCAGGCTTGTGAATGTCGCATTAGTTTGATACTGCGATGCCATGGCGCAAGGCCCTTTGTCTGCTCTGGCTGCCGTTCGTGCGTCCGCAAAACGCGCCGAACTTGACAGAGATCTGTCAATATCCGCGGCCGTGCTCCAGCTTCCTGGGTGACAACAGCCTGTGTGTGAATTTGGAGTACGTCCGGGTTTATGACTTCACTGCCGGTGAGGACCTGTGCGCCCTTGTGACGCCCGCCCATGGGTTCAACCGCGACTTCATTATCTCATCAGGCCTTGCGAACTCGAGCCGCTGCATCTTCGATTGGAAAGGTGATGGGAGATGCGACTTGTCGAACAACCACGACTCCGAGAATTGCCAGTTTGATGGAGGAGACTGCTGCCTGTCCACGTGCCAGACCAACTGTGCCAGAGAGCCAGACTTGTATGAGCGGCCCCCAGCCATTCGTGAAGGTAACGAGTGTGAGTACTTTTGCGGGGAGGAGGCCCTCTACTGGTGCTTGGATGATGAGGCTGTCCTGTCCCCGGTGAGGCAGTGGTGCGCCTTTGGGCAGATCAAGTCCACGTCGCGGTGCTACCTCTCCAAGCTGGAAGTGGCGGGAGCCTTGCAACAGTGCATCCTCGACGACCGCGTGCATGGGAATTCCATCAATGCGGGCCCACAGTGTGGCAACCAGACGCTTACCTGCACCCTCCAAGATGTAGAGGCCAAGAACGGCTGCCACCTCACGAAGGACGACTGCTTCACGCGCATGTGTTGCACCGAAGCGATCGACAATGGTTTCATCGCTGCAAACCCCGAGACGGAAGCGCTTCCATCTCTCACTGCAATCTACGACGTGTGTGAAACAAGCTCAACTGACAATGACGAGCCATGCTTTCCGTACATGATGAAGCTTGGTACAGTAGTAGAGTAGGTAGCCTTTAGCTTCTTTGGCGTTCTAGTCCCTGTATACTCCCAAAGGCTCACTTTAGTTCCCGGACCCAGAGACCCCAATACCCCTTTGATGAAGGAAGATTCCTTCAACCAGAAGAAGGAACCCTCTTATGTTTTTTAAAGGGACATTCTTCATCAACGGGCATTGAAGTCCCAGGGTAGATCCTGGACTGTAAGGAAGTGCCTCCAGGAAGCACGCGCCGCCAAAGGCGGCTGCTGCTCCTGCGATACGGGCTGGGGTGGCTGGCGCTGCCGTGACCCGCTCTGCTGGCCGCGTTGTGTTCACGGGACGTGCGGCCTTGGTAGCTGAGTACCCGTTTGCCTCTTTTTGGGTTCTTTTGGGTTCTGGGTCCCTTAAACAAAGTAGCCAGCCCCCAAAAAGGGTATCCTGATTGTAAGATGGTTGCTGGGCTACCAAGGTGTGGCCCCAGATCTTTGCCACTGCGAAGCAGGTTGGAAAGGAGAGGCATGCCAGCATGCCATCTGCAACCCCGAGTGTGTGCCGGGCCAGGGCACCCATATCCCCCTTGGGAATTATTTCTTTATTTTTGTTTATATAAAACCCAAGAGGATATGAAAATGATTATTTTTATTGAGGTTCTAAGGGGAGTATAGGCACCTGCGTCCTGCCAGACGTTTGCGAGTGCTTCTACGGCTGGGGAGGCACCTCCTGCGAGGTCCCGGTGTCCGAGCCGGCCTGCGTCAATGGCGACGCGGTGTCGCCTGACGTGTGTCGATGCGCTGAGGGCTGGGGAGGGCGGCTATGTGACTATCCGCTGTGCCAAAGCTGGCCCATCCCTTCGCCTGAGTGCGTTCATGGCACGTGCATGAAGCCCTTTGAGTGTGAATGTGAGCCTGGATGGAAACCCTTCAAGCACTAAGGGGGTTTCATCTCGGCATGTCGGGGTAGCAGTTTCTTGGAGTTCTCTTGAAGCTTCAATGTTTAGGGTTTAGGGTTCAGGGTTTAGGGTTTAGGGTTCAATTTGCTAAGGAAGCCATACCTTCCCATCAACCAGTCGGGCTTCGACATCATCCCTTTCTGGTCGCGTGGACAGGATGTCTCGCAGGAGACAGCGGGTACCTATGTAAAGGCCGACTCGCGCATCTCCTTCCTTTCCTTCTGGGATCGCCAGTACAACTCCTCCAATGCAGCGCAGTGCACAGTGCCAGAGTGCTCAGTGATCATTGATCCCCGGTGCATCGAGTGTGAGCCACCACCGAATGGCAGGTGCTTGAATTGTGAGCCCGGATTCTTCGTGGACACCGCGATCGACCGTTGTGAGCGCTGCTCCAACGTCTTCCCACACTGCCAGATCTGCGGGCCAGAGCCAACAGGGCCTGATGGCAAAGTCGTCCTGCGCTGTACGCGATGTGACCCGCTCTTTGTTCTGGAGCCGGTGCCTTTCGGCGAGGACCGCCTCTGCCTGTCCCCACCCCCGAAGCATTGTGCACTTTATACATGGAGGGGGTGCATGAAGGCAGAACACTGCTTGTGAATTAGAATTGCAGGGATCCTGTTAGCCCTTCAACGTAAGGGGGTAGGGAATGCGAGGACCCAACGGCTCGGTGTGTGTCCGATGGCCCCATCGAATTCAGCTCCCCGGTCTACCACGTCTACAAGGACCAGGGAAACGTGACGCTGGTGGTGCAGCGCAGTATCTATGCGCTGCGCCCGGAGTTTGCGAAGCCCATCACCGTGCTGGTGCGCACGCGCGATGGCACGGCCAAGAGCAGCAGCCTCATGTACGGCGGTGAGTTTGCCAGCTACGAGGCCACCGTGGCGAACATCACCTTCGGCGTGGACGAGGCGGTCGTGATGCCAGTGGAGGGCTCGCTGGCCTCGAACTTCTCCGGCGCCTTGCAAGCGCGCTTCCAGGAGCGCATCGAGCTGCCAATCTTAATCTTCGACGATGTCACATACCACCCAGAATCTGTGTCATAGTTGGGTACCATTTTACATCTCTATACTTAAACCCTATAAGGAATACAAACTTAAATTTTCAATGTTATCCCAACCATGAACTAGGAATACCGCTACTTCGACGTTGAGCTGGTGCTTCCACCGGAGCACTTGATGGGACACCAGGGCCCTCTGCACCCCTTCGTCACACTTCGGGAGCACGAGACGCAGCAGGCTTGGCTGATGCCGCAGAATGTCTACCGCGCCCCCGTGCTCGACAGGCAGGATGTGCTAAGCACTGCGCGGATTTATGTTTGGGACCATGTCGAGGCGACCGCCCTCAACACCTACTGTCAGGGTGATTGCCAGCAGTGGCAAGCCAAGACATTGGTCGGTGACGCGCGGAATGTGCTGATCCAGGCGCGTACCTTCGACAACCAACCCATCACTCCGCCCACATCCATACGGCCAGACCCTCACTTCATCATCAAGTACTTGCCGAGAGGGGAGGGCAACGAGGAGTCTGTGGGGACCATCACCACAGCCACTCCGACGAACTTGGTGGGCACATATGCTGGTCGCTTTGTTCCGACCCTGGCCGGCATCTACAAGCTCCAGCTTCTCTGTCATAGTTGGGTACCATTTCGCATTTTTAAGGGTACTTAAACCCAATAAGGAATAAACATTTTAGATTTTTAATAGTATCCCAACCATGAACTAGGATTGAGAAGCCTGTGTCGGGCATGTTCGCGGAGTACTGGTGGCATCGGAACATCCACCGCAACTCCCCACAGCAGCCTGACATCAGCCGGGTCGACCATGTCTTGGACTTTTGGTTCCCAGATGTGGCCACGGCGCCGGCGTTTGTGAGGTGGAAGTTCGTGCTGCACTTTGCCTGCATCCGCACGGCGCGTTGGCCCTTCAACTTCGGGCACGCCCTGGGGATCATTGCCTCTCCAGGCAGCGAGGTGCGAGCCTTCTTCTGGAATGACGGCTCCGTGACGAAGAGGGTGCCGGATGATGTGGTGCCACGGAAGCGTGAGGAGATGATCCGGGAGGACTGCATGCAGGAGGTGCCCTTCTTCATCTGTATCGACCTCCTCTTCCATGACCCCGTGGTGGACCCCTTCGGGTTCTACGCCTTCGAGATCGAGTGGAGCACGCCGATGGTGGATGACATGGAGGAGAAGAAGCCCACTTCCATCGAGATCATGCTCTATCATCAGAACGACACGGACTACTGGGGCTGGTGGCCCATCAAGCAGGGTTGTCTGCTGACCAGCGGGCTGAATATCCAGGGCAGCCCCTTCGAGGACTTCCAGGCCATCAGCGGCAGTGCACGCCCAGACTTCTCCTCGGTCTTAGCGCTACCGTACAGCACCGTTACGATGTCGGTCATTGTGGATAGCCTGGCGGAGGTGCGGATTGACCTCCGAGACATCCTGGGGCAGCCGGTGGTCGGAGGCGGCATGCTGCGCAGTCTCAGCGCGCGGCTCTACACGTTGCAGGGCGTGAAGGAGATGGACCTGACTGTGCGGTGGAGTGCTCTAGGGTACTATTCCGCTGCTTGGACGCCGCTCCCTCCCGACCCTATCTACAATGACGATGTCAGCACTGGCCGCTACTACCGGCAGCTCATCGTTCTGCTGGACGGAAGCCAAATACAAAACTCACCCATGTCAGTCGAGATCCTGCTGGCTGTTTCTGACGAAGAGCAATCGTACATTGAAGCCGGCGACTACACGCCCGCCCAGGCGGGCGAGCCCGTGTGGTTCCAGCTCCGCTCGGCCACCTTGGCAGGCCGCCTGCGTGTCACGGGCGGAGATACGTACGAGGTGTACTTCGAGGGCCCATCCCACGACCCACTGGGCGCCGAGGATCAGTTCCGCGGCACCGTGATCGACAACTTCAACGGCTCCTACACTGTGAAGTTTGAGATCCAGAGGCCGGGACGCTACCGCATGCGGATCTTCTTGAATGGCCAGGAGATCGGTCCTTCGAAGTTGGCGGGATCTCCATACAGGGGCATCTTGATCTGGGACGACATCAGCGCGGAGCTCTCAACTGCGATTGGTCCCGGCATCAGCCCCACCAGGTCTGGCAGCCCTGCGCAGATAATCGCTGGCGTGAACACAACCTTTCAGATCAGCGCCAAGGATTCGTACGAAGTCCAGTACCTAGGACCCGGAGTAGTTTATTTCATTTGTCTTTTTAGGGCTTGGGTTCCCTTATCAACCTCTTTAAACCAAACCAAGGCACCGTTTTTACTCCTAGGTTCCTCCTGTGTCTAGGTACTTTGAGGGCGGTGCCACTTTCGCGCTGAGTACCCCGGCGATGCATCAAGCTCCGGCCCTCAACGAGACCTATGCCAGCTACTCGCCCCCAGAGGACTACATGGACATCGTGGACAACGGAGATGGCAGCTACACCGTCGAGTACCTTCTCTGCAAGGCGGGCCTCACACACATGGACATCCGACTTCAGTCGCAGAACCAAGCAGGAGCCATCAGCTGGCTGCCGATTCGCGGCAGTCCCTTCCACGTGGAGGTGCTTCGGGGTGAGCTGAGGCCGGCTACCTCGAAGGTGCACCCGCCCTCGGGTCCGCAAAGCGGAATTCCAGCCACGATCCGTCTGGACTTGCGCGATGCGTGCGGCAACAATGCAGATGATGATGCCATGGCCAGCCTGGATATCCAGCTGCAGCGCGTGGAAGGCAACATGTTGGAGGCCCTGGCCTTCGAGGTCGTCCGTTCCGGGCCTGGGGAGGTGACGGTGTTCTTCATGCCAGGGCGTAGGGGACAGCACCAAATCCTCGTGATGCGATCGGGGGAGCATTTTCAGGCATCGCCACTAAACTTCCAGGTGTCGCCAGCAATGGGGCCACCAATGGGCACAGAGTGGCAGCTCACAGCAATTGGTGCAACGGCCGCCTCGACCTTTGAGGTCTTCAACTCACCCACCTTTGCCGGGGAGCCAGCTGGCCTGCAGATTACCGCCCGGGATCTCTGGGGCGATGTGCTGACGCAAGAGAATCACAGCTTCATCGTGAGCCTTTGGCCTGACAGCCCCGACGATGGAGGCTCTGATTGCCCAAGCCTTTCGCGGTGCATGGCTGTGGCTATCCGGGAGGAGATGTGCGATCGGCTGCCGCTATGCCATTTCGAGCCTGTTCTGCGCCAATGCCGCCCTGACTGCAACATCTCGGATGCCTTTGTGCCTTATCGGCTGGTCGTGCCACATGCGGTGGTAACTCAGACGTCAGTTCAGGCGGAGGTCTATGAGTTCTCTTTGCTGACCAATGTGGCTGGTACCTACAACGGTGCGGTCAGCGTCTTGCGGCCGGGCGCCTTCTATGCCTACTGGTACAACAACCCACAGCGCTCCAAGCGCATCTTCGCTGAACTGATTCGAGGACCCCTGGACTTGGATTGGGGCATCTTCGGCCCTGGCGGCACACTGCCCGGGAACAAGTATTTTCTGCAAATCATCGGCTGGCTCCGAGTCCCTGCCACAGGGAGGTATACATTCCAACTGACCTCTGACACCGGTGGTCGGCTGATACTGAATGGCACCGAGATCACAGCAACCGATGCAGGCGATGCTAGCGAGGCGTCGGGTGTCTCCAGTGCTCGCAGCCTTGTCACGATGGAAGTGGATCTTGAGAGCGGCTTTGTCCCGATTGAGATCTTGTATGACCACTGGATGGGGGAAACGACCCGCAATGTGGGGGCCTTCCTGAAGCTCAGCTTCGGAAGCATAACAGTGCCCTTACGGATCCTACAGGCGGATGTCATGTACTACGAAGAGGTCCTGCAGCAGGCGAACAATCCTTTTGTGCATGTGGTGCACCCAGCCATCCCTGTACGGAGTCTGCACGCAGTGACGCGGAGCACCCTGCAGTCCATGGCGGCCCAGGATGTCTTCGTGCGATTGCAGTCTGCCGATGCCTACGGCAACCTCCAGACCCATCGGGACCCTGCCTCGTCCGTGCAACTTCGTGAAGACGAGCTCGGCTTGGTGAAGCGCGTCGTGGCATTGCACAGCGGCGCCTGGGACGTGGTGCTCATCCCCGAAGGCCCAGTTGGCAAGCACCGGCTTACCTTCGAGCTTTTCTCCGAGGCCAGCAGCCATGGGTCCCTCCGGCCGGTGGCCAACCGCAGCATCGAGCTGGACCTCGCGGCCAACCTGCCTGATGCCGACCTGACCACTCTCTTGTGCATTCCTCCTCCACCATGGCCGGTGGGCGTGGAAGTCACCTGTTCGATTATTCCCCGCGACAGTGAAGGCAATGAGGTCCCAGGGCTCGAAGTTCGCCTCTTTGCCCAGCCACCGCCACCCCTTGCCGAGGAGCTCACTACGACGCTGCACGTCGTCGACCCCAAGGACGTGGCGCGGCAGTTCCGGCTGTATCCAACAGTAGCAGGCCTCTGGCACCTCCGTGGCGAGGCATTCTTGGTGGAAGATGTGACCATCAACTTCCGCACCTGGCCTTTCGAGGTTCTCTGTGGTCCGACCTCGGCCCAGCGGAGCTACTCAGTGCAGCCCTCCCGGGTGATCACGGGCATCCCCTTCAACGTGCCCATCTACGCCTTCGACGAGTTTGACAACCCATCCGAGACAGGCACGGACATCTTCCGGCTCAAGATGACGGGTGGCTATGAGGAGCGCCTGGCCTATGAACCCTCGGTCCTGTATTTGGAGAACAACACCTACATGGCCGCAGATCTCAACGCTCACAGCCGTGATCTTTTCAAGATCCACATTGACCACCTCGCGCAGAACCACAACAACAGCCTGTCTCAGTGCCCAGAGCTTTCGCCGGTGCCAGGCGGGAGTTTACGAAGATCAGGGACCCCTTTACTGGACCCCAAGTAGTAGGATCCCCTGAAATTAAAAGGGACCCCAATAAGGTACCCCCTAAAAGCCGGAAACCCCCAGGCGGCCAAATCATGGAGCTGAGTGAGCAACGTGCAATCGGCAGCACTGCTTTGCTGCGGTGCCTCTCGGGCTTCTCCGCTGCAGGCGGGGACACCGGCTTGCAGTGCCTGTGGCCCAACGCCTCCGCTTCAAGACAGGCCGTGGCTAGGTACGCCACTTTGGGATAGTTTCTATTTTCCCTTTTTGGGTTTAAGAGGACCATGTTTAGTTTTATGTTTTCCCTTATTTTTGGGTTTAAGAGGACCATGTTTAGGGAATATTTCTCAGAGGGGTGTTCAGTGCCATCCTAGGTGGGATATGCCGAGTGGTTCAACCTGTCCTCCCTGCCAGCGAGCGGGCTGATGTGTCGAGAGCAGCTGCTTTGGTGCCCCATGCCGCCTCGGGTGCCCTTCGGACGGCGCGTGGCCCGTGACTGGCGTCGCCAGGTAGGCAGCACTGCATCATCCGAGTGCCTGCAGGGTCACGTGCTCCTCTTCGGTGACCTGGACATCGTGTGCGGCTCGCGCGAAGGAAAGGGCACCTGGCTCCATGCAGACGGCACGACGGCCGTCGCGGCCACTTGCATGCCGATCCAGCAGCTTTGCCCGGCGCTTTCTCCCCCGAGCTCGGATGTCGTCAATGCAAGTGCCGGCCGCGACGCGGGCAGCGTTGTGCAGCTGCGGTGCAAGGTCGGACTCATCCCCGTTGCCGGCGATGCAGTTCTGGTGTGCGGTGCCGACGGCGTTTGGCGGAGGCCGCTGCAGACACTTCCACAACCACCGGGCGAGGCGCTGGCTTGTGCGCCGGATCCCTCCCTCTGCCCCGATCCTTCCCCACTGCTGGGAGTGGGCGCTGTGGCGCAGGTCAGCGAGTTCCACCTGAATGCCACCGTGACAGTGAGCTGCACCATCGGCTACGAGGAGTCTGGCGATGGTGAGCCCATGGGGAAGTGTGCGCTTCATCCGGATGATGACTCTAAGGGCCGCTGGGCGAGCCCAACGGAGATCACAAGGGGCCAGGTGCCATGGCGGCCCTTGCGCTGCCGCCTGCGGCAGAGCTATTGCGGCAACATCCAGGTGGACCATGGCCAGCTCCTCTCGCTCTCTGTGGAGCGCTATTTGGGCTCAGCTGCGCGACTGGGGTGTGCCGAGGGCTATGAGGCCGTAGGCGGTGATGCCGGCTTCGTCTGCACGGCTTCAACGGCGGCAGCTGGCGCCTGGCTCTCCGAGAGTGGCGGCGACTTGAGTCAGAAGCTCCGCTGTGGGAAGGTGACCGATTACTGTCCCGAGCCGGTGCCTCCAGGTGGGACTCGCTTCGTTCTCTCGGCAGGGAAGGAGATGGACAGCGTGCTGACGTTCGAGTGCCACTTGGCCTACGAGCCGAACGTGGCCCTTGAGTACCCCGCAGAGCTCTTCTGTCGTCCAGGCCCCGTACCGGGAAGCGGCCGCTGGTCTTCGAGCGACGGTAAAGGCTTGGAGCCAGCACAGTACCTGAAGTGCCGCAAGCAGTACAACTGGTGCCCTCGACTTGGACTGGTGGATGGCCAAGTCAGCAATGTCCTTGACAATCGCCAGCTGGGCGGAACGGCGCAGTTGCGATGCGATGCTGGGCTCGAGATGACATTCGGCTCTGCATCTCTTGGGCACATCACTTTGGAGGTGACCTGCACGAGTGGCACCACAGCCGGAGGTGTGTGGATGTCACCGGATGGACAGGACATCGCAGGACAGCTTCAGTGCACTCCGTTGGACTACTGGTGCCCTCCCTTGACTGGCTACACGATCGTGACAGCCACATATCGGGAGCTTGAGACATTCGAGCGCGTCATCACATACAGCTCGGCGACGCGCGCCTACCGCAGCACTGCCATGATACGCTGCGCAGCGGACAAGCGCATGCTAGACAGCTACGGGGACTCTGAGGTGGTCTGCGGTTTGGATGCAGATGGCGTGGGTGGGGCGTGGCGAAGCAGGCGAGGAATGCTGGCCATCAGCAAGCACTGTTTCTACACGGGCTCCCCGATCACCGACACGGCCTTCATTGAGAATGGCTGCTTCTTCGGCGACTTCGCGCAGACCTTCGACAACTTTTCTATTCCAGTTTTCTTCTTCCGCACGGGTGCCGTGATTTTCTGGCATCGGCCATCAGAGTGGCTTGTGGGCTCGACTGTCTTGGAAGGCCAGAACAGCCAGTGGCAAATCAAGTGGGTTGCAGAGGGCGTGTTGAATGCCAAAGTCGACCATGGCGTTGGGGAACTGCAGATGGACGTGACGCAGAATTTCACGAAGGGGCCCGGAGACTGGTTCCACATCGCGTTCGTGTGGGACTTAGGTGTGGGATTGGCAGGACAGGGCCGCACCTACCTCTGGGTGGCTGGGGTTGACGGTTCTGTACATTTTTTTTTTGCATTTTTAAAGTTCTACGGAGTGTTTTGGCTGAAAGTCAGAGTAAAAGTAGAACCCTACAGACACCGTCTAAGAACCCCCAACGAGTCCTATCCAGCCCCCCACGCACCAAAAACGACCTAATTCATCTACCCAAGGTGGACGGAATTGAAGCTCTGCCGGCGGAGACAAACTCCGAGACTAGGTGGGACTTCACTACAACCTTGTCACCTTATAAGTTTTGGGGGTTCCTCTAGTTTCATATTAAGGAAGCCAAAAGTTAAGCTCATATTTTGGGGGGCAAACCCTAAACCCTAAACCCTAAACCCTAAACCCTAAACCCAAAACCCTAAACCCTAAACCCTAAACCCTAAACCCTAAACCCTAAACCCTCAACCCTCAACCCTCAACCCTCAACCCTAAACCCTAAACCCTAAACCCCAAACCCTAAACCCAAAACCCTAAAAGCGGCAACCCAAGGAGAGGCTGACGCATTTCAACTGGGTGGAGCCGGAAGACCTCTTGGACCTCGGCGGTATCCGGAGCCCCCAGAGCCCCTGGGGCCCTCATTTCAGATTGTTTGGGGTTGGGGTTTAGGGTTTAAGGCTTAGGGCTTAGAGTTTAGGGTTTAGGGTTTGGGGTTTGGGGTTTAGGGTTTAGGGTTTAGGGTTTAGGGTTTAGGGGTTTAGGGTTTAGGGCATAATCCCCTTAAAACCAAACAGGGTGCCTTTTTTATTCCTAGGTTACTCTTTGGTCCAGGTCCCGGTGAGTACAGCAACATCCGGGTCTACACTCGTGCTCTGTCAGCCGAGCAAGTCTACGAGATCTTCAGTCACTCGGTAGGCCCTTGGGACATTTTGTGTCTGCCCTTATTGGGTTAAAGAGGATTATCTAACCCTAAACCCTAAACCCTAAACCCTAAACCCTAAACCCTCAACCCTCAACCCTCAACCCTCAACCCTCAACCCTCAACCCTCAACCCTAAACCCTACTAAACCCTAAACCCTAACCCTACACCGCATCCTAGGTCAGGAGGACCCCACCTGCGGCATGACCGACGATGTTTGCCCACGCCCTTGGTCTTTCAGGTCGTACGTGCGGGAGGTCACAAATCCAAACGACTTCCGCTACAAGCTCTTCCCGCGACGCCCCGCAGCAGAGGTCTTCTACATGTGTGACCCAGGATACAGCGCGTTCGATGGGGACGACCACATCATTTGCACCAGCTCAGGGACCTGGCTGAAGTACGGCACTAACCAGCCAGCGCAGCCTTTCCGCTGCTGCCGACACTCGGAGGACTACTGCCCAACTATCGACCTCACCAACAGCGCAGGGGCTGTTCTGACCGCAACAGGCTTCGAGCTCTTGGCGGAGTGTGAGGACATGCCCATTGATGCTGGCAATGGAGGCGAAGTGGTGGTGGTCTATGAGGGTTGTCCAGAGCTGATGATGGCTGAGCATGTTGTGGTGGAGCTGAGCGACGACTTGAACATCTCCAGCGTCGCATCGCTCAGCTGCGAGTGGGGCTTCGAGGCTACAGAACCATTGACCATGGACACCACACTGCGCTGCCAGCGAGGTCCTTCCCCTGACCCTTTCGTCTCGATGGTTGTGCCTGGCCGTTGGAGGACGCTGGATGGCCGGGAACCCAGGCAGCTCCGCTGCCAGGGGGCCCAGAATTTCTGCCCGGACCCACGGCGGCCCAACACCACAGTGGTCATGCTCTCGCAAGCACTGCGAACAGGCTCACTGGTGCAACTTCGCTGCCTCGAAGGCTTCATGGGCATGGAGCTGGAAGCCACTTGCCAGAGGTCTCCTGATGGTGACGGTGTTTGGATGGTGGAGGAGAACGGCACGCATCCTCTCAGGGACCTTTACCCTTGCAGCTCTGAGCAAAATCACTCAGAAGATGAGGAGAGCCATCGGGTTCCAGAGCCAGCCGTCCCAGGTGCTGTATGGTACTGGGACGACTGTGCCCAGGGAGAAGGCTCTGCCATGCTCTCCGCGCCGTCTCAGCCCTTGCAGGCGAAAGGTGGCACCGTGTCACTTTGGTGGCAGTTGCCCTTTGACCTTGAGGAGCGCTACGTGCTCTGGGCATCCATGGAGACCCGCTGCCTTCAGATCTTAAACGACACGAATCAGACGGCGCTGCCTGACCCACCACGCCTCGATGATGGCACCACCGCCACAACCAGCGGCTCCGGTCAGCCTCTTGTGGACCAGAACGACACCAATGCGTCGAACATGTCGATTCTTCAGGACTACGAGGAAGGCCTTGAGGACGAGGACAACACCACGAACGAAACGAACGAGAGTAACATATCAAACGAGTCCTATGAGCCCTTCAATATATCCGAGCTGAATGCCACCTGGGATGGTAGGAACAACACGGGTCTCGACAGCGACGCGCTGGAGATGGAGAGCGACAATGCCTCAGATGTGGAGGACGAAGCAGAGAACTCCAGCAATGACACAGAGGATTTCGACCTGGGCATGCACGAAGCAGGGGGCATGGACATGAACAGCACAGCGAATGGCACCGTCAATGCAACCGAGAATGAAACCGACAATGAAACCGAAGATGAAGCTGAAAATGAAACCGCGAACGATTCTCTGGATGGTGCTCTGAGCAATGCCAGCGGGGAGATGGCAGGCAGCACAAGCGTCTCAATGAATGACACTGAAAACATCTCGAACATCACGAACTCCGCAGAGCAAGCGGTGTCGGACTCGCATGCGAACGAATCCGATGACAATTATTCCGATGACTCCGAGAACGATACAAGCTACTTCCCGAATGAAAGCAATGACACCGAAACCCTTGAGCAAACACCGGACGAGGACCATGAGGACCCAAACTCAAGCAATGTAACCATTGTGGAAGGTCGCGAAGGACTGCACTGCATCCTCAGCCCGTACATGGTCGTGACTGAGGGCGTATTGCAGGTCCAGCTCTCGGAGGGCCTGGGCGACTTCTCCGTGGACTTGGTCGGACTTGGGCTGCGCAATGGAGAGTGGCTGCACTTGTTGCTAGGTATCGATTTGGGAAAATTGTATATTTTTCCTTATTGCTTAATAAGTAGGAGCCTTAGTTATACACAAATTTGGGGGACTGTTGAAATCGACACCTAGGTTGTACGCTTGGGATGACGGGGGCGCAGCGACTCGCCTCTGGCTGAATGGCACGGATGTCCAGGTCACGACCACGACCACCATGGCGACGACGACCTCGATGGCTGCTGCAACAGAGGACGACAACCTGACGAATGCAACAAACATGTCAAGCTCGAACCTCGATTTCGAGCTGGATGAGAATGAGACCTATACTTCAGAGGCGGAAGGCAACGACAGCCATGACAACGAATCCCTCGACTCAGAAAACGTCACGGAGGCCCCGTCTCAGTTCAGCGAAAGCAGCACCATGAGCAACGAGAGCAATCGCTCGGCCATGGCGGAGGATGATGAAGCATTTAGGGTTTAGGGTTTTGGGTTTAGGGCTTAGGGCTTAGGGCTTAGGGTTTAGTTTAGGGTTTGCGGAGGATGATGAGGATCCCGGAGCCGACATGGTGGCATGGGAGGCAGTCCTCGAAGCCGCCCGGCACGAGGGCTTCATCACGCTCCCGATGATGTCCAACATGACGGCCACTTGGGGTGTTGGTCGTTGGAAGTAATGTTTTTGTCATGTCTCTGCACCCTTTCGTTCACCCCTCTAGAACCCCCCCCCCCATACACATCGGCCCTGTGAGATGATTCCCTATGTAAATCGAGTTTGCAAACCCTAAACCCTAGACCCTCCTCAAAAAATACCCTAAACCCTAAACCCTAAACCCTAAACCCTAAACCCTAAACCCGAAACCCTAAACCCAAGTGCCCAACTCAGGACACCCTTGTGAATGACCTGGAGTTCACGCTTGTGATGGGCTGGCCCCTCGACTCCGAGAAGTTCACGGAGGACGTGGCCCAGGGGGGTTGGCATCTTTGTTTGTGTTGCAGCTAAACCCTAAACCCTAAACCCTAAACCCTAAACCCTAAACCCTAAACCCTAAACCCTAAACCCTAAACCCTAAACCCTAAACCCTAAACCCTAAACCCTAAACCCTCTTGGGATGTTCCCCCTTATACTAACAGTCTCCTTAATAAGGATTATCATAGGGGGTACTATAATCCCCCTATTAACAAGGACTGTTAGTACAAGGGGGAGCATCCCAACTTGAGACTCTTCTAAGAGTACCTTGTTTGGGAATCTTGTTTTCCAGTTTTTAAGGGCCAACCTAGGTTGCGAATCGAGGTTGGCGCACGCTGTACCGGCTCTATGACAAGCTGCCGCCGGGGTTGATTTGGAAGAAGGAGCTCCAGCTTCTGAGGGCCCTAGGCACATAGAACCCTGCGCAGCCCATGAAGATGTTCGAGCTTTAATGTTTATAGCCCCCCCACCCCCGCACCCCCCCACACCCCTCCCCCCAAAAAAAAGCAACTAAAAAACAATATATATATATATACATACACACATATTTTAGAGAAAAAAGCAGCAAAGAAACATCCACCCAGGTTGGACGATGCAGATGCGAGAGAGCTTGCCAAGGAGCGCCCCTTTTGCCCCGTGGTGCTGTGCTCGGAGCTGGAGGAAAGCTCCTTACTTCGCCAATGGAACTTCGAGCTTTTTGGTTCCTTCCTGTTTTAGGGTTTAGGGTTTAGGCGGGTTTAGGGCTTAGGGCCCTGTAGCAGTCATAAATGGGGATCTTCCCCCGTCTACTAGGAGTCCTAAGTAAGGATGAACATGGGTACTATTTAATCCCTACTAAGGACTGTTAGTATAAGGGGGGGACATCCCAAGTCATAGACTTGTTCGACTTTTTTTTTTGGTTTGTTTTTTCTCCTCCCACCTCTGGGCATTGGAGAAGTAAGGCTTGCTGCAGAACTCGTACGTCAGGCACTCCCCGCGGCGAGCCTTGCCGGGGGAGCTGCTCCACCTCGACTGCTTTCCCGGCTATGAGACTCGGTCGGCCCGTTGGGACATTTTTATGTTTTTTTTTGGGTTTCAGAGGATCATACTAACCCTAAACCCTAAACCCTAAACCCTAAACCCTGAACCCTGAACCCTGAACCCTGAACCCTAAACCCTGGACCCTCAAAAACCCTAAACCCTAAACCCTAAACCCCAAACCTACTTCCGAGGGTTTCTTACGGGCCATCCGAGGAGATGACGGCTGGGCAGAGGGCGCTGCGCTGCGGGGCCTCGGGCGCGTGGATGGGAATGTCCCTGGAATGCTGCTCCTTCGACCCCGAGTTCTGTCCGGAGGTGCCCAGAAAGTGGAGGAGCTCCATCGACGGCTTGCCTGAAGATTTTGAGGCCTTGATGGTGGAAGCCCAAGCCCCCTCGGAGCCGTGCGAGGGCGTCTCTCGCAACGGCACGGCGCGGTCCCTGGGTGCGGAGCTGCTCCTGCGCTGCCCCGCTGGGTACGTGCTGGTGGCTGGTAGCCGCCATGCGGTGTGCTCGAGGAAGGGCTCCATGGACGGGAGCCCTTCGTCATTCCGAGGGGTATGGAAGGACTCCATCGGCGGGGAGCTGCAGCTGCCAGTCTGCGATTTGGATGACAACTGGTGTCCCATGCTCTATCCAGGCGACCAGAGTTACATCCTCAACGCCACTGCAGGCCGTCGCCTGGGCTCCTTGGCCTTCTTCCGCTGCGTCGATGACGTGCAGCTGGAGCCGGGCTCCGGCAGCGTGACTGTCCGGTGCGGGATCTCTCCCGACAGGCGGTTTGGGCTGTGGGTCGACGCCTTCGGCTCCCCGGCGATGCCCCTCTCATGCCGGCAGCGCATCTTCTCCACCACATCGACCACCACCAGCTTCCTCCCGACCAGCAGTGGCGTTCTCTCGGGCCTGCCCGGCGACCAGGGCTTGGATGCGCTGCGGTACCACGCGGCCAATGCCACGCTCGGCTGCGGATATCCCTTCGTCAACGTGGGAGGGGACCTGCGCGTCTTCTGCGTGCTCGGGCCCTCCGCAAGCAGCTCGGATGGCACGGAGGGTCGCTGGGTGGACCAGGATGGGAGCAACATCGAGCTGCCGATTTGTGTGCTGCGGAGGGATTGGTGTCCGCAGATTGACTTGGTGGGCAAGAACAGCGAAGCTTCACTGAGCAGCGCCTATGAGTTCGGAAGCACGGCGACCCTGCGATGCCACATCGGCTACCAGCGCGTCGAGGGCAACATCACACTGAATTGCATCAACCACGAGTCCCTGCTCTATGGGATCTGGGATGCGGAGCCACTGCAATGCGAGCTGTCACCATACTTCTGCCCGGCGCCGGAAGCAACCTTCGCCGGGCTGGTGCAACTCGACTCGCTCTTCAAGCGTGGTGACATTGTCAACATCGCATGCCACACAGGCTACAGCTACCTACAGGGTGATCTGGAGGTGTATTGTGATGTGAGCGACTACAGTGATGGAGGACAATGGAAGACCAGCGATGGCACAGTGGCCAAGCCTGTGATCTGTGTTCCTCAGCAAGATTTTTGCACCTTGCCTGTCGTCTACAACGGCTACGTGCACTCGGTGTCGGAGGAGGGCAACTTTGTCATAGTTGGGTAGCATTTTGCATTCTTAAGGGTACTTAAACCCAATAAGGAGTATAAGTTTAAAACTTGGAATACTATCCCAACCATGAACTAGGCAAGATGGGGAGCATCGTGGAGCTCCAGTGCCAGGATGGCTTTCAGGACCTGCGCCTTGGTGCGGAGCAGCGCACGGCGCGCTGTGCTGAGGGCGGCGCCTTTCGCGTGGGCATCTCCCGGGTGAGCCGAGATCTTCTCCGTGCCACCTCACTGGCCCAGGACGTGCTGGACGAACTGGAGTCGTATTGGGCTCTGGAGACACGTGAGTCGGACGAGAACTGGCGGGCGCTCATGCAGTTCGAGTACCGCTGGCGCTCGGAGCTCTCTCTGGGCTTGCAAGGTTTGCTTTATGACAGTGCCGTCCGAGAGGTGCTGTCCCAGTTCCCGGGTTACGACGGGGTGACGGACCGTTGGATGGCCATGTTCACCGTGGACGACGTCCGTGAACTCGCGAGGTTGCTCGAGGAGAAGCAGGCGGAGATGCTGGACCTTGCCGATCAGAATGCGGTGTCGAATAGTTTGCAAGATGAGCCCATCCTCTTGTGCAACCGGACGCCTGATTGGTGCCCACTTCCCGAGCTCCCGCAGCACAGCCAGTTCTCACCGGGCACCGCTTTGTCCGCACGGGCCCTCGGTGACCAGGTCTTTGTGGAGTGCCACCCCCACTATGTGTACGACCTGGGCTTGCAATCGCTGCAATGCGGCAACGCTGGCAATGGTTCGCCGCAGTGGAGGGCGGTGGATGGTCGGCAGGCAGAGCCCAACATCACCTGCCTGCTGAATCGAGACTGGTGCCCGGCACTCCCTGTGCTGCACAACTCCTTGGTACGATCCATGGTGCCTCAGAATCGGGCCGTCTACAGCGAGGTGCGGCTCGGATGTCGGCGCGGCTACCAGCCTACGGCAGGCCACAGCTATGGACGCTGTGTGGACTCTGGGCAGTGGTGCTCCGGCGACGAACCTTTGTCATAGTTGGGTAACATTTTACATGTTTAAGGGTACTTAAACCCAATAAGCAATATGAGTTTAAGTTTTTAGTACGATCCCAGCCATGAAACCAGGAGCCTTCAGCCTGTGCAGAGCCGGCCGACTGGCTCAGCTGCGAGCTGATCCCGGCGTACTGCCCCGAGTGGCCGGGCAAGGTGGAGACGGGACCCTACGGCCGTGGTGGCGGCGCAGCCCAGGATCCTCTCGCCCACGTCTTCCTGCGTGAGGTGCGTCAGCTGCCGCTGCCCAGCGCTGCCTTGGGAGAGGTCGTGACGCTCTCCTGCCCCGAGTACTTCTCCAGAGCCGCTAAATCCCCCTTGGGAATTACTTTTTTGTTTCTATAAATCCCAAGAGGACACTATTAGAAATGTATTGTTTTTGTTAATGTTAGACCCGCTTTAGTAGGGGCCTCCCCTTTAAAGTCAATTTGGCCAAATTATTCAGGACCCCCTGACTGTTTGCGGGGTCTGCTTTAAAGTCAAACCGTCCGGGCGCCGTAAGAAAATTCCACGTGGCGCGCCTTTAAAAAAGATAACCGGGCATCGCTGCCCCATTTAAACCTATCTAAACTCCTCCCTATTGAAATCATATAAGCCCCCGGGGCCGTGTAATCAGGCTCCCATCCACGCCTCAACTGTAGGTTCTAATATAAGGGGAGTAGAGGCCATGGGGGACGTTCGCTTCAAGTGCGGCCACGGATTGAACGGAGTTGGCGAGTGGCAGCGGGAGGCCATCTCTGCGACACTATATCCCCCTTGGGAATTGTTTTTACATTTTTGTTCATATAAAACCCACGAGGATAATAAGAATAATGTTTTTATTAAGGTTCTAAGAGGAGTTTAGGACAGACTACATGGACAACAGCACGCCCGATGCTCGCATCCAGCTGGTGGACGAAGCCAGGGCAGAACCACTGGTTTGCGAGCTGCAGACCCAATACGGTGTGCGTCGCAAGTACTACAAGCGCTTGCCAGGGCTGTTCCGCAACCACAGCGGCTCTGACGAGGACGTTGTTCCACACATCAACCAGGTCCAGTCACAATACGATGCTGCGCACTTCGAAGCGCACCTCCACCCGGAGATCTCCACAAACTACACGCTTTGCGCGGCTCGGGCGAAATGCAGGTCCTTGTTCCCTTTTCTTGGGGGTCTTAGGTTTCCTTCTAAGCCCCTTTACGCCAAGAAGGGGGCATTCTTGTTATTCCTAGGGTGTGCTCTTGGGTCCAGGTGGAAGTGGTGGGTTCCTTCACGTTGACCTTTGACAACAAGCTCCTGCTTACCGGTCGATCGCAAGGATTTCTGCCCGAGCTCTTCGTGGCCGAGGTGACGGCGCTGGACAGCAGCCGGCTTCTAGGTCGGCCCTTGGGATATTTAGGGTTTAGGGTTTAGGGTTTAGGGTTTAGGCGGTTTAGGGTTTAGGGTTTAGGGTTTACCTCAACCCTAAGGGGATCTATCTATTTGTACATGTTCCCTTGTTCTTCTTAATTGGGGCTTAGGAGGATCAGATGCAGGAATATCATCGAGTCGCTTCAGAGGGTTTTAAGCAGCAACCGAGGTTTTACCCATTCAGCTTGGAGTACTGGGCGGATCCTCTGCTTCCCGACCGAGTGGAGACCTGGCAGCTGAGAGTGGGCTACCCTCTTGCCCTTTTGGGGTTCATGGGTTTCGGGTTTAGGGTGAAGGGTTTAGGGAGAAAAGGGGGTTCCCTCAACACCAAGAAGGGTACCCAGATTCTCACATGGGGCTCACGACATTTGGGGTGTACCTTCTTGGGGCCTTATGATAAGGGGCATCCTACTATTTGTGGTCCTTTTTCTTCGGGGGCCCTTACTTTCGTAAACCCCCGTGTGGTAATTGGACTACCGAGGAGACTCAGATGACGTTCCAGAGGCACCTCCGTTTCCTCTGGAACTCCTCGAATGAGTTGCCTCTGCCTGTTCCGTACACGGAGCCTCATGGGATTTTACCTTGGGCCTGCAAGGTTGCACCCTTGGGTTTGGGGACCCTTTTTCAAGATCCTGTAAGGGAACCTAAGGGTCATATTCGGAGTCTTAGGGGTACATCTTTAGGGGTCCGAGAAACCCTAAACCCTAAACCCTAAACCCTAAACCCTAAACCCTAAACCCTAAACCCTAAACCCTAAACCCTAAACCCTAAACCCTAAACCCTAAACCCTAAGGGGTCGGAGTGCGAACGCCCCCTTTGAGGAGCTGTACCACAGCTTCGACCGACTCTATGGCTACCCAGTCTCTCACCTTGGCGTCAACGATCCCGACCCATGCCCCTCCGGTGCCTTGGTCATAGCTGGGTATCATTTTACATGTTTAAGGGTACTTAAACCAATAAGGAATACCCTAAACCCTAAACCCTAAACCCTAGACCCTAGACCCTAGACCCTAAACCCTAAACCCTAAACCCTAAACCCTAAACCCTAAACCCTAGACCCTAGACCCTAGACCCTAAAGCCTAACCCTAAACCCTAAACCCTAAACCCTAAACCCTAAACCCTAGACCCTAGACCCTAGACCCTAAACCCTAAACCCTAAACCATGAGCTAGGTACGATCCAGTATGTCAATGGCTTGAACGAGTACGAGAGTGGGTGGGTGGCCGATGGATCCCTGGGATGCTGGGCTTGGTTTAGGGTTTGGGTTTTAGGGTTTAGGGTTGAGCGCCTGTGAGAGAGAGAGAGAGAGAGAGAGCGAGCGAGAGGGTTTGGGGTTTAGGGTTTAGGGTTTAGGGTTTAGGGTTCAGGGTTTAGGGTTTAGGGTTTAGGGTTTAGGGTTTGGGGAGAAAAGTTGCAAGTTCCATTGTGGCCCTCATCGTGTATTCCGCCGTTAACCTTTAGAACCCATCAGATCACATGATCCAACGAATATTTTCCCACACATTCGGCAAACCCCCAAGCGGTAGCCGTAAACCCAAATCCCTTGAATCCCTGCTTGACAGAGCCCTCTCGACTACTTAGCATCCCCTAGAAACCTAATACAACTCCCCAGAACCCAACTTGCTAACCCTACTTACTAAGTGAAAAGGGCTTCGAACCCTGGACCCTAAACCTACATCCTAAACCCCAAAGCCCTACTTGCGAAGTCAAACCCTAAACCCTAACCCTAAACCCTAAACCCTGAACCCCGAACCCTAAACCCTAAACCCTCAAGGGCTGCCAAGTAAAGCCGAGGATACAACTACAACCCGGGCTTGCAATGCCAGTGGGAGCTGGAGGCGGTCGGGAACGTGCGCTTCACGGTCTTCGTGAACTTCCTCGACCTCGTCGACACTCAGGACTTTCAGTTCTCCAGAGGAAGTTAGGGGGGTCAGGGAGCTAGGGGGGGTGCGTTACACATCCTCCCAAGAAGGCCCCTTAAGGGCCCTATGATAGGGCACCCAGAGGAAGTTAGGGAGTTTGGGCGGGGGGGGGGCCATGTAGGGCACCCAATTCCCCGAGTTCTTACGAAGAGGCCAAAACCCCAAGACTCGCCCAGTAAAACCCTAAACCCAAACCCTAAACGCTAAACCCTAACCCTAAACCCTTAAAACAAACCCTAAACCCTCAGCCCTAAGCCCTAAACCCTAAACCCTAGACCCTAGACCCTAAATCCTAAACCCCCCCAAAAAAGACACACCAGTAAGCGCAGGACTGCGCAGGGGACCGCCTGGAGTTTCATGTGGGCACTGGGGATGCCCTGCGACTGCTTGGCATGGTCTGTGGCAGCTACCCCGACACTCGGATCAGCCGAAAAAATATGCAGAAAACACGCAGATCAAGTAAATGTTAACAGAATAAAGATGATGTAATCAAGGAACCCAAAAAGATAATGAACTGAAGCGTTATTTTTAATGCTTTTAGAACTGCAAATGCCGGCTTTTTGAGGAACCTTTCCATGAACCTCTAAGCCCAAATAAGCTTCAAGCCCTAGAAGCCCCGAAACCGAGCTTGGAGGCTCATGGGTAGGTAGTGATATGTAGGGGTTATACGCATGGCAAATGTGCTGACAACCTTATTTCAGGTACCTTTTTAACCCTACCTATAACTACCGCAGAACCGCCAAGCATGAGCCCTAAACCCGAAACCCTTCACCTAAATCCTGCTGCTGCAGAGAGCGCGTGGAGAAACCTAAATCCGACCCCACTCATGCCAAGGAAAACACCGCTCTGGTGCAAACCTCGAGCCGGCGTTTGGTGCTGCGCTTCGTCACGGACGGCTTCGGCGAGCGGGAGGGCTCCCGGTCTCCTTTGGAGGGGAAACCCAGAGTTGTGATTGCTTGGCTTTGTACAAACTGCAGGGGAATCCTAAGGGTATCATCTAATTACTAGGAGGCTCAAGGGGGGGGCTATAATTAGGGGTTATAAGCATGGCAACTGTACTTATGACCCTATGTAGGGTGCTTATAACCCTGCGTATAACTACCCATGCACCTCCAAGTAGGAACTGCGTTCTTTCTATTGGTTTCCTATGCAATGTTACAACCCCGAGGAAGCTCGACAACGGTTCAAGTTTGTCAACATTCACGGTTCTGAACCCCGAGCCATTAAACTCCCTATTTAGTCTAGGGTTTACTTTTTAGGGTTTAGGGATCCCTAAACCCTGAACCCTGAACCCTAAACCCTGAACCCTAAACCCTAAGCCCTAAACTGGAACAGTGTGTGCCTCGCCTGGCTTGGCCGAGTGTGAGCGAGTAAACCCTAAACCCCAAACCTTCAAAAAGGGGCCGGCCCAGGCTTCAACGTCACCTACAACCTCACGGCCACCAATGAGATCCTGGTGGAAAACACCGTCATCCCGCGGACCTCATAGGGTGGCCCCAAGGAGAGAGCTCTTCCCAGAGAGCCCTAGTGGAGGGGTTCAGGGTCTAGGGTTTAGGGTTTAGGGTTTAGGGTTACAACTCTGTTGGGATCCGTCTGTCTCTGAATGCAGGGCCGATTGCTCAATTAGGGGTCGATGGGCTCTCTGGGTCATTCTGCGTCTATGTCTACGATCTTCTTACTCAAGTTAGCAGCACCTAGCTTCTGACAGCCCTCTGTATATGACCTACTTGGAGATTCATGGGCATTCACAAGTAGGGCTATAAGCACCCCAAATAGGGTGATGAGTAGAGTTATCATACCTAGAACCCTACATCAAACCACCCGTGAACCTAAACCCTAAACCCTAAACCCTACCCCTAAACCCTAAACCCTAAACCCTAAACCCTAAACCCTAAACCCTAAACCCTAAACCCTGAACCCTGAACCCTGAACCCTGAACCCTAAACCCTAAACCCTAAACCCTAAACCCTAAACCCCTGCCGTGCGATGTTCTGCATCAGCTAGGCGGGTGGCAAAAAAAGAAACCTAAACCCGATTCTCAGAGAGTGCTGTCAGTCCTGTGTTTGTTCGGGTCCTGAGTTGTCAGAAGTGCACCAGGGCGTGAGCAGCAGACACTCCGGTGCGGCTTCTGTGCATCGAGCGCTGATCCTGCGGTCGTTTTGTTGGTTTGGGGTTTAGGGTTTGGGGTTTAGGGTTTTGGGCCTAGGGTTTGGGGTTTAAGGGTTTGGGGTTTGGGTTTAGGGTTTAGGGTTTAGGGTTTAGGGTTTAGGGTTTAGGGTGATGGTATTCTCGTGTCGTGGGTTTGCCGGCTCAGTGGACAGTTGCCTCGCCTGCCGTCTGCGAGGGTGAGCGTCGAAGCCCCCAAATCCTCCAAAACCCTCGACTTGCCTGACTCCGAGCTCTATGTGTTGGGGTTTAGGGTTTAGGGTTTAGAGCTCTTACTTGCCGTGAACCTCGCCTGGCCTGTCCGAGCAGAAAGTGCCAAGCAACATGGCAGTCGCAGTTTCACTCTGCCCATCCTGGGCCGACAACCAAGCCACAGTTAAGAAAAGGAGTCCCATGATTCGTGTTAGGGGTTTAGGGGTTTAGGGGTTGAGGGATTTAGGGGTTTGGGGGTTTGGGGGTTTAGGGGTTTAGGGGTTTAGGGGTTTGTTTAGGGTATAGGGTTTAGGGTTTAGGGTTTCAGGGTTCAGGGTTCAGGGTTTGGGGTTTAGGGTTTAGGGTTCGGGGTTTAGAGTTTGCATGGCAAGTTGCATCTCAAAGCCTCAATAGAACCAAGCCTGCGATTGCAGCACGCTTGAAGTTTCCAGGTGTGGAGTAAGACGTTAAGCTAGACAAGGGGAGTCACCTTGCTTCTTAGGGTAATTACCCAAGGGCCCACACTTCAGAACCCTTTAGAGGAGGTAAGGGACCATATTATCCGGTTGCCCCAAGTCCGTAAAATTACGGGCAGCCTAGGCTACTATAGGGGTATGACAAATTACTACTTGTATTCCCTTAGATTGCCTTAGGTTCCCAATACGACAACCCCCCCAAAACCCGATTCTAATTACCCGAAACCCGAAACCCGAAACCCGAAACCCGAAACCCTAAACCCGAAACCCTAAATCCTAAACCCTAAACCCTAAACCCTAAACCCTAGCCCTAAACCCTAAACCCTAAACCCTCTATTAAACAGTGCTAGAAGCCCTCGACCTGCCCAGGTCTCAGCAGCGAGTACCTGCGCATGCTGGCCGCCGTTTGGGCTGCGCAAAGCTGGGGGTTCATCCGGAACTTGTGGGGGTTTACGAACATAGGGTTTAGGGTTTAGGGCTAGGGTTTAGGGTTTAGGGTTCAGGTGTCAGGGTTCAGGGTTCAGGGTTTAGGGTTTAGGGTTTAGGGTTTAGGGAACATGTGGGGGTTGATTATCTGTTATTTGATTTGTGATTCTTATATAAGCACATAGTAGTAACAGTAAAGTGGTATACATATGTGAGAATTTACGAAAATAGGGGGCCCCTAAAATAGACCCCCAAATAAGCCCTTAAGCCGCATGTGATATTGCCCGGGCTTGAGCGCACTTTTGTTTCGTTTGTAGGTACTTGGAGGTTCATGGGTGGTTGTAAGTCGGGTTAGAAGCATGGTAGCTGTACTTATAACCCTCAACCCTACTTCTACCCAGAGGTTTGGGCCCTTCCCGAAACAAACCCTAAACCCTAAACTAAACCCTAAACCCTAACCCTTAAACCCTAAACCTAAACCCTAACAAGCAATATGCCTAGAACTTTATAGGGATCCGAAGATGGTTTAAGGTCTGTTCCTTGGTTAAGGGGTGTTGGGCTCCTTGGGTATAAATGCCCTCCTAAACCCTGAATCCTAAACCCAGTCCCATGAACCTCCGAGTATAAAAATTCTGCGTGGCTGCCCCAGATCTGAGGATGAACGTTTTTTTGTTTATATATATATATATATCATTCTTATTTTTTTAATCTCTGTTGTAGCTTTTGACGAGTGTGATTTGATGCTTGGGGTTTAGGGTTTTGGGGTTTTGGGGGTGTAGTTGTGCTGGTTTACCCCTTGACATGCAAGAGTCTAGCTGATGCGAGTTCTTGCACTCGAAGTGCGCGTTGCTCTTGCGAGGCCTTTTATGAGTCATAGGTTTCTAAGGGAAGGAGTTGATGACAGGTAGGGAAGACTAGGGAGCCTCAGGGAGCCGTGGGGAGTGTACCTTGGGTTACATACCCCCCTTGAACCCCCCCTCCCTTCAGAACCCTACCCCTGAGTGACTGTTCGGGTTTTTCGTGCACGCATCTTGCACACAGGATGAGACTACTGGTGTAGGACCTGGTTAGTCGTGTAGGACCTGGTTTGTGGTTCCTTTGGTGGAGATGTCAGCCTTTATTTGGCGCCTCTGGCACAGACACCTTCGACCCCCCCGCACTGTAAGACCTCCACTCCCCTCCCGCGGAGTGGCATGTCGGCGATGCGGGTGGACAGCGCCCTGAACCCTAAGCCCCTCAAAAGCCCCCTGAAGCCCCTTAAAGTAAAGCCCCTAAACCCGGAACCCCTTACCCTGAACCCTACACCCTACACCCGAAACCCTACGAAGCTTTCCTCGGATCCGAGGACTGCTTGCCCCCGAACCTCGTGGAGTTGAAGCTGAATTTGAGGCAGGGTGAGGGCTTTTAGAGGCTCCGGGCGGGATTGGGGTTTAGGGTTTAGGGTTTAGGGTTTGGGGTTTGGGGTTTGGGGTTTAGGGTTTAGGGTTAGGGTTTGGGGGTTTGCGGGGTGGGGGTGCAGGTTTAGGGTCAGGGATCCAAGGCCTCTGGGGGATTTCAATGTGCTGGAAAAGGCTCGTTGGCCCTACTTGAAGGTTCATGGTACTTACTAACCAATTATAACTGTACTTCTACCCCTACTTATAATTGGGATAACCCCTATAAGGCCCTTTAAGAGAATTATAAGTAGTAGGTTTATAAGTACAGTTATAATTGGTGAGTAAGTACCATGAACTTCCCAGAAGGCGTCTGGGGGATTTCAATGTGCTGGAAGAGGCTCGTTGACCCTAAGACCCCTTTATGGGAACGCTACCTACCTTGAGGTTTAGGGATTAGAGTTTTAGGGTTGAGGGTCTAGGGTTTACCATGTTGGGATTGCCAGGATGATCCATCTGGTTTAGGGTTTAGGGTTTAGGGTTTAGGGTTCGGTGGGTACTGGCGCTCGCTGGTTCGACGTCTCGACCTTGTTTGGCCTTAAGCGCCGCTGCGTAATTTGCCACTTGTCTCTCCGTATTATCCCTACATAGTGCACTAGACTGCCCAGAGCCCTAAACCCTAAACCCTAAACCCCAAACCCCAAACCCCAAACCCTATTCGAATAAGATAGGCCCCCTAGATATCTTCACTGTGCAGGTGTTCATCCTTCAAGGACGAGGACACGGCCATCCTTGCCAAGGCCTGGCAGTTCCGCGAGAGATCCTGGCCATCTTGCTGCCAGACTAACCCCAAGCTTCTTAGTAGTGTTTAGGGTTTAGGGTTTAGGGTCCAGGGTTAGTAGAGTAGGCAACCTTTTAACCTTTTTTGGGGGTAGTCTAATCCCGAGAAAGTCCCAAAGGTTAACCTTTAATAATTTCCCCAGGTTACTGGACAACTAAGGCTTACTGAATACCCCAGGATCACTGTTTCCTATTTAGGCTAGGTGGTCACTGCTCTAGATTTTGGTCTTTTTTGGGGGGGTACCCTAAGCATTAGGGGCCGGGGCCGCCTTATTACAAGGGACAATGGTTTGGAGAAATGGCCCCTAAACCCTAAACCCTAAACCCTAAACCCTCAACCCTAAACCCTAAACCCTAAACCCGTACAAGGCAGTGGTGTGAAGGACAGATAAAATCACAGGGATCACAGCCGAAGCGCACCTTTGGACTGAACGCGGGGGGAATGCCCGCCCTCCTGCTTCACTTGCGAGCTGCGTGCAGTTTCCCCCGAGAGAAAGCTCGGCATCTCTTAAGTACGGGATATGAGCTGACCCTTTAAGGTTCAGATCCCCCGGTACAGTTCAAGGGAAACTCCTTCACTAAGCGGTTTTTGGGCACCCGCTTGAAGGGGAGATGTTATAGAGCCCAACACCCCTTAAGTAAGGAATATGCCTTAAGCTATAAAGGGGCTCCTTAGCATCATTTAAGGCGTCTTTTCCCTCTAATTCAGGGGCATTGGGCTCTTTGGGAACCCCTTCAAGACAGCACCTCTAGCCTGCAAATTGCACACCGGAAGGGCAGAGTTAGGGTTTAGGGTTTGGGGTTTAGGGTTTAGGGTTTGGGGTTTAGGGTTTAGGGTTTAGGGTTTCGGGTCAACCCCAAGCTCTAAACTACAAACCCTAAGCCCGAAGCCCGAGATCCGACACCCTAAGTTCCTAAGCCCCAAATCCTAAGCCCTAAGCCCCATGCCTTCGAGGGCAGCCCGCCAGTTCAGTTCCAGGCACTTCCCAAGCACCTCAAGGAGCTGAGGTTAGACTTCACCTGCTGCGGGCGGCCCAGGGTTTAGGGTTTAGGGTTTAGGGTTTAGGGTTTAGGGTTTAGGGTTTAGGGTTTAGGGTTTAGGGTTTAGGGTTTAGGGTTTAGGGTTTAGGGTTTAGGGCATGCAGTTCAGGTGTAAAAAAGGGGTTTGTAGGGTTTAGGGTTTAGGCTCCAGAGATTTCTAGAGATTTCTGGGTCTTAGGGTTTCGAGGTTGTTGTATGGGCTTGGCTGATGCAAAGATGCCATGCTCAGGAGAGGGTTTAGGTTCCTCCGCCTCAAGTCAAGCACCACATTCAAGATTCAAGTCAAGCACCACATTCAAGATTCAAACTCTTGAAGGGACGGGATCTCAGCACATCAAAACAACAACAAGAGCTCAATACCCCGTAGTCAAGCAACATACATTGTGAATCCCTACATCCTGCAAGGTATATGGGGTGTTATTAAGGGGTATTTCGGGCGCTCTTTGCGCTTGCAGCTGCTGAACTCTAAGCTCTAGCTACAAAACTTTAACTTGAGCTCCAAACTCGCAAGACCGTTAGTGTCTGTTCATGTCATACTAACCCCCTGATTCTAAGTAAGGAATGAGGGAATTAGGGCCCTCTCTATGCCTTTAAGGGAGTTTCTAGGATACCCTCATTCCCTCATTCCCTACTAAGAACCAGCCGGATGAGTCATTTCAGGTGGCGGCATCACCGATGTCGGCCTGGAGAAGTTGGCTGAGCAGCTGGACTTCGGCGAGACGGCCGTGTCTCGGCTGAGCCCAGCGCAGTAGGGCGTTCTCACAGAGAACCCCTAAACCCCCAAACCCTAAGAAACACGGCCCTCACCCCAAAGCAACAAGCCCCGAACCCCGAACCCGAACCCCGAACCCGAACCCCGAACCCCGAACCCCGAACCCCGAACCCCGAACCCCGAACCCCGAACCCCGAACCCCGAACCCCGAACCCCGAACCCCGAACCCCGAACCTCAAACCCCAAACCCCAAACCCCAAACCCCAAACCCCAAACCCCAAACACCACACCCTAAACCCTAAAACCTAAACCCCAACCCCAACCCCCCCCCCCCCCCCCCAAAAAAAAAAATGGAAAGAAAAAGCAAGATATTTTACTTCGAACATCCCCACCCTCTCTGGGTAGAGATACTCTGGGGTTGGGCTCTCTAGGGACACGCTGAGGTTGGGCACTCCAGGAACACTCTGGGTTGGGCAGTCCAGGGACTCTGGGGCTGGGGACTCCAGAGACACTGTGGGGTTGGGATTTCAGGGGAACTCTAGGGACAGGGGTTGGGCAATCCAGGGATGAGCGAGGAGTAGACCGGGTGAGGAGAAGAGTTCCGGGTGAGGAGAATGGAGTTTAAATTCGAACAACCCCACACCGAGGGTGGGGAAAGAGATAAAAAGATATTTCCTTATGAGAGCAATACAGGAATTATTATCTTTCTTGTTTCTTGGGCGGGGGGGGGGGTCTTAAGCAAAAAGTAGAAAGCCACATTCCGAAATTCAACTGACACGGTGAGAGAAACCGCGCCTGTAGCTTTCTGGGCGATGTGAGCCGAGGAAGCCTACGAGTGTCGACGTCGGGATATTGTTTGGGCCGCCTAAACCCTAAATCGCTCTGGGCTTAGGGCTTACGGCTTAGGTGCTTAGGGCTTAGTGCTTCGGGCTTCGGGCTTAGGGCTTAAGGCTTAGGGATTAGGGCTTAGGGCTTAGGGCTTAAGCACTACGCTAGGGCTTAGGGCTTAGGTGCCGAGGGCTTAGGGCTGGGACTTCCGGCTTAGGGTTTAGGGCTCAGGGCTTTAGCCTTCAGGGCTTAGGGCGCGATAACTGAGACGATGACTAGGGGGCATCCGTAAAGCTGCTTCTCGGCACCTGGCAGCGGCCCCGAACCCGAAGCTCTAGAACACCAAGGCCCTGAAACCCGAAAGGTCCGCCAGAAGCTTAACCCTAAACCCTAAACCCTAAACCCTAAACCCTCGCCCTAAACCCTAGCCCTAAACCCTAAACCCCGCATCAACTCCCGGCATCCCGTCGACCGAGGTGTACATCAGTTTGGCCGAGACTGGTGTCAGCAAGGGCGTCCAGGCACAACTCCCAAGGTGGTACTATAGGGGTCGGGTTTAGGTTTAGGGTTTAGGGTTTAATATAGGGGTCGGAATAATTGCTAATAGTATTCCCTTATGGTCCCTGTAAGATTATTCTGAAATAACCCCCCTCCAAAATCCTATCCGAATTATGAAGGCCCTCTCCTACCTTATTTGCGGCTTCTAGGGGATAGGCTAAACCCTAAACCGCCTAAACCCTAAACCCTAAACCCTAAACCCTAAGCCCTAAGCCCTAAGCCCTAAGCCCTAAACCCTAAACCCTAAACCCTAAACCCTAAACCCTAAACCCTAAACCCTAAACCCTAAACCCTAAACCCTAAACCCTAACCCTAAACCTTAAACCCTAAATTCCATATAGGGGAGATACCACTTAAGAAAGGAGTAGGCCTTAACGCATGTAGGTGTAGGGTCGAAAGTTGCTTTTTGGTTGAGGGGCGAAGGGTGAACAGTTTGGGGCTTCAAGTCATCGATATCTCGAAAAGTGTACAAGATGCCCCCGCCCCATATACATACATATATATATATATATATGTACATACACATACATACATACATCTATATACACATCTTTGTTTGTCCCTGATTCTCTCTCTCTCTCTATATATATAAAGATATACACACCTTTTTGCTCGAAACAAGTTTTGTATCTCTAGATCTGAGTTTGGAATTTAGGTTCTTATGAACAGTAACTCAAACTCCGTCCTTTGCGGAAGTGGGGTAGAGGGTGAAGCCCTATACCCTCAACCCCAAAGCCCTAAAGCCCTGGGCCCTAAACTCTGCCCCGTGGAGTGATCGCTAGGCAGGCGCCAAAAGCAAAGCCCCGAACCCTGATGCTGCGCTTGAGGTAGTGGTATATGAAGGGTCTACGCTTGCGGCCAAGGGCTTAGGGTGAAGGGCTTGTTAGGGGCACCCTGTGCTGCACAGAAGCAAGCTTTTGGCACCTGGTCCTCGGAGCCCTGTTCCGGAGGAACCCCCCTCCTTGGGAAATCTCTTGGAGACATACCAGAAGAGCACAATGCCCCTACCTAAAGCTTAAGCCATATAGGGACCCTTCTTATGACTTAAGGCACATGCCGTGTTTCGGGGTATATTGGGCCCTAAACCCTAAACCCAAACCCTATAAGCATGGTTGTTCTTATCACCGGAGAAATGTTTGATCTTTCCCATACTCTGCGTGAAAGTACAGCAGTGGACATTGCACAGAGCCGTGACGTCCCTTGGGGCTCTGTGTCCCACCTTTTGGGGCCCCAAAAGTGCTTGCCGTTGGAGCCTTAATGCTGCTCCAACTTTGGGCCTTCGATGTTAGTCTACGGATTCGGGTCTTCGCACATTGGGGTCGGGACGGACGAAGACCGTTTGTCCTCGCAGAACCCCGAGTTTTCTTCAGTAAGTAACGAGGTCTCCCTTGCAGTGCGATGTGATGCATCGGCTAGGCGGGTGGCAAAACATAACCCTAGACATTTATGTAGTGGGCTCTTTGGGTGCGTCAGGAGTGGTACGAGCAAGAGGCCGCCAAGAACGAGGCAAATGGTCAGAGCGGACAGCTGAAGAATGTGCAGGGGCCTCAGCCCGACTTAAGCCGCCCTTTCTTCAATTCAGGTGTGGGAGCTTTATCTGAAAGAGCACGAATGACGGAGAAGGGTTGCGCGAGGGGTGTAGTTAAGGGCTTCAATTTAGGGTTTGGAAGCGCTTAGATCGGTCTGGGTCTCGGGTTACCACCACAAACATGGACAGAGACAAGTTTTGAGGAAATTACGCTCCAGGGATACGAGGAGGGATCATAGAAGGGCCTTAAATTCTACCACCCCCACGATATATGTGCGCATGTATATGTATATGTATATGTATATGTATATGCATATGCATATGCATATGCATATGTATATGTATATATGAGTATACATGTACACGCACGCACACACCGTCGAACGAACCCTTAGCAATGCTGAAGTTCCTTGTGCAACACAGCCCGCCTCGACATTGAGAGCTGTAAGTCCTAGTGCTTGGAGGTTCATGGTACTTATTAACCAATCATAATTGTACCTATTAACCCACTTATACGCCCCTTAAGTGCCCTAACATGGTTATAAGTACAGTTCTAAGTACAGTTAGAATTGGTGAATAAGTACCATGAACCTCCAAGTAGACCCCTTGGCGGCCCCAATCCCTAGTCCCCTTGGCGGGACTCCACTTAGAGGCTCACGGGTACTTATGAGTAGGGCTGCAAGTACGGGTTATAGGTCTTGTTTCCATACCCTACTTAAAACTACCCATGAACCTTGAAGTAATCCCTTGGACCCTAAACCCTAAACCCTAAACCCTAAACCCTAAACCCCAAAAAAAAAACCCTAAACCCCAAACCCCTTGGAGAGAATCTACACCGTTGGCAGCATGGCAGCCTTAGAGCCGGCAGCGAGTAAGAGAGTAGCAGCCTCTCATCCGAGAGATCCCCAGAGAGCCCGGAATAGGGTTTTGGGTTTAGGGTTTAGGGTTTAGGGTTTAGGGTGAAGTAGAACTCGAAAGATCTAGGTATCCTCAGTATGATTTTTGGTATATTACTCAATTCAGCGGTGTCTTGGGCCCTAAGCCCTAAAGCGTCAACCCTAAGCCCTGAACCCTATTCCTTGATTGAGGGGCGTTTAAGGGCTCTTCAAATGGCAAGGTCGAGAGCGCTTCACATGTCGTTGTGCCTGAGCCCTGATACGCTGCGAGCTCAGCTTAGAGATGTCAGGTTTAGGGTTTAGGGTTTAGGGTTTAGGGTTTAGGGTCAGCAATCGCTGTGAGTGGCTTAGGTTGTAGGGTTTAAAGTTCAAGGTTTGGCGTTGAGGGTTGCTTCATGACGGCCGCCTTGGGAGTCGTGGCCGTGAGGGGAGCTCGTTCCTAGCTGCGGTCCCTGCGAGTGGGAGTCGGGGGACACTGCCCTGTTGTGAGCATGGGACTCTACCTTGGACGTCCCAAGCCCCTTTTTATGGTAAGGGCCATTTTAGAATTTCATGTTGGGCAAGCTCTTATCTTGGGGGCACATCCTTAGGGGTCCGAGTATGACTCCCTTGATATGTGGAGGCCTCTGCAACCGGGGTTCCTCCATCTGTGGTGCCCTTACTGGCTCGACAGTTTTTGAGCAGAGATGAAGCTAAACGCTTTGAGGTTCATGGGAACTTATAACCACAGTTATAAGTCTACTTATAACCTACTTAGGGGACTTAGGGGGCTTATAAGGACAGTTATAGTTAGGGTGATAAGTATGAACCTCTAAACAGCAATGCCGTTAACACCCTCAAAGCCATGAGGGTTTCGGCCTCAGCCCGAGAGTGAAAAACAGCAGAAATCCAAAAAAGGAACAGGAGGGCACCCAATAGGGGGTCGACGTGTAGGTCGGAAAGAACGCGCGGCTGTCCCGCAGAGCCCAATACCTCTTAACCAACCAGTATTCCTCAACCCTAAACCCTAAACCCTAAACCCTAAACCCTAAACCCCAAACCCCAAACCCTAAACCCTAAACCCTATTCCTGATTTAAGGGGTATGGGTAACTTTCAAGGGCCCTTATCATTGGACAGGGCTGAGCCGACGCGTCGGACGACAGTTCCCGCGGCCTCTTTGCTGGGTAAGGCGGCCATGGTGGACAGGGTTTTAGGGTTGCGGGTTGCGTGTTGAGGGTTTAGGGTGGATACCCAGAGAGCCCAGTTTTCGGAGGGTCCTAGGGTTTAGGGTTTCAGGGTTTTAGGGTTTCAGGCTTTGGGGTTGCGTTTGGGGTTTGGGGGTTTAGGTGGTCCAGGCATGGTAGGAAAGGGTTTAGGGCGTCGGGATGCCAACTTCTCAACTAAGGGCTGGCTTGTGAGTGAAATCGAGAGTCTGGGTTCACGAAAAGGGTTTCGGGTTCAGCTCTTGAGTTAAGTAGAGTTGGGTTTTTCAGGCCTTACCACATCAGACAGCTCAGTCTGACAAAGGGTGAACGCTCCCTAAACCCTAAGCCCTAGACCCTTGTTTATTTCAAGTCGACCCTAAGCCTTACGCCCAAAGAGCCCAATACCCCTTAAGGAAGATACCTTAAATTTTAATCAGGATCTCCATGTGGTTCTATACTATTTGCTTAAGAACCGCTTCTGTTCCGTGCGTGGAGGGGCGTAGCGCTGAAGGCCCATGAATTGGCAATGCAGGGGCCAGGTTCAACCAGAATGGACACTCCGGGTTTAGGGGTTTAGGGGTTAGGGTTTAGGGTTTAGGGTTTAGGGTAGCAGGCACCAGCGAGCCTAGCACCCCTTCAGAAATAGACACTCTTTCGTGAGGATCCCAATGTAGCTTGAGGTGCAGTGCTGAATCTGGGATAAGGGGACACTCTTGGTAGTCATTCAGGCTCCCGTGATTGAGCTCCTGAGCCTGAGTTGAAGTCATATCATGAACCATGGGGGCCCTTTGGGTCCCTAATTCAGACTTCATGAGAGAGTATGGCCCCTCTGCCGCAGGGGTTTAGGGTTTAGGGTTTAGGGCCCTGCACCCTGCATGTGCAGGTCATCACAGACGATGCAGACAATCGTGCGGTGGCTGCTTGGACGGACTTTTTGCATGCTGGTTCCTGGAGTTACGCCTAAGGTACGTCTGCAGTTGACACCTCGGTTAATGCCCTTTTCTTTTTTTGGGGCACGGGTGGTTATAAGTAGGGTTATCGGTATGGTAACTATACTTATACCTGGTTCGGGTACATGTAACTATACTTATAGCTGCCCATAAGCCTTCAAGTACCCCGAATCCCCAAGCCCAAAACTCCCGCGCGAGTTTCCTACAACCGTGCAGCATAGGCCCAGCTCTCATATCCGTGTGCTCAGTAGCCTGCTTGTGCGTTTGAGGCGCAGGTCTTGCGCGAGGTACACCTAGGGTAGAGTTTAGGGTTTAGGGTTTAGCGTAAAGGGTTAAACCCTAAACTTGAACCCTAAACCCTAAACCCTAAACCCTAAACCCTAAACCCTAAACCCTAAACCCTAAACCCTAAACCCTAAACCCTAAACCCTAAACCCTAAACCCTAAACCCTAAACCCTAAACCCTAAACCCTAAACCCAACCCTAAACCCTAAACCCTAAACCCTAAACCCTAAGCCCTAAACCCTAAACCCCAAACCCTAAACCCCAAACCCCAAACCCTAAACCCAAAGTTTAGGCTCGAGGGTGCCTTCCGGTCACACGTCGCCGCTAGCCAGCGTAAAAGAAGTCGTGACTACAACTCAACACAAGGCCAGCGAGGTGAGACCAATGGACAAGAACCCACCGGCCCTAGTTTGTGTTTGCGGTTCCCGCATCAGTTCTATGAGCTCCCATTCCAGCGTTCTAGAGTTCTTAAGGGAGGGGGGTTCCCTAAGGCTCCCTAGGTACTTACCCCCCATGAACCCCCCCGTCCCTTAAGAGCCCTATACCAGCGCATCTTCCAACTCAGATCCTCGTTCGCTTGTGGCAGCTTGAGCGTCGGAACCCTGAACCCTGAACTCCCTAGATAGGGTTCAGGTTTTGGGGTTTTAGGGTTGAGGGTTTAGGGTTTCTAGGGTTTAGGGTTGAGGGTTTAGGGTTCAGGTTTTAGGGGTTTTAGGGTAGCCTTCTCTACATGCAAATACAAACAAGCAGCCTGCGCAGAGGCGGCGCTACGAGCGCTGAACTCCTTTGGGGAGAAGGTGTGGGACAAACACGGCGGACACCCAAAGCGGTTTAGGTTACATGGGTTGGTGGTCTCTTTGAGTAAGGTTTCTGTTTTACAGGGCATATATTCGGGGTTCTTATTAGGGTATCTAGGGGCTATATTAAGGTATAAGGGTAACAGATAAAGAGGCCGCCGGCTTTTTTCGAGGTCTAGGCATTCAAAGGCACTGGCTGCCCCCGAAGCAGCTCTTCGGATTTTGTTGGTGAGTACTTAGATGTTCATGGGTAGTTTTAAGTAGGGTTATAAGTGTGGCAGCTATACTCATAACCCTACTTAGGGTACTTGGACCCCTACTTATAGCTACTCATGAACCTCCTCATCAAGGAACACCGTGTCGGACACTTATGCGTGGCCTCTGCATTGGGCGCAGGGCTCAGTTGGTGTGTAGCCTAAACCCTAAACCCTAAACCCTTTCACTTTCGCCGAACCGACTTCATCAGTCCGCATACCCTAAACCCTAAACCCTGATTTCCTTGGCGTGATGGTGGTAGACTCGGGCATGAGGGTTTAGCTAGGCGGATCACCCTCAACCCTCAACCCTCAACCCTAAACCCTAAACACTAAACCCAAAGAGCCCATGGGTTGAAGTGTGCCAACTTCGTCCATGCACCTGCTAGTTTCCACGCGTACCACCCTGGAAACCCGAAACTTGACAAGCCCCCTCAAACCCAAGGTTTACGGTTTAGGTTTTTAAGGTCTCCCAACAACCCTAAGATGCCATACAGCAACCCCAAAGCCCAGATTAAAACACCCTGAACCCTAAACCGCAAGCCCTAAACCCTAAACCCTAAACCCTAAACCCTAAACCCTAAGCCCTAAGCCCTAAACCCTAAACCCTAAAGCCTAAGCCCTAACCCCTAAACCCTAAGCCTTCAGCCGCCCTCGGTGGAGGCACGGTCAGCGCTGGGCAGCGACGCGCAGCAGCGGGCAAAGGACTGTCCGGATGGTTCCCGGCGAGCGCAGAGGGAGGGGGACGGGTTTAGGGTTTAGGGTTTAGGGGGTAGGGTTTAGGGTTTAGGGTTTAGGGTTTAGGGTTTAGGGTTTAGGGTTTAGGGTTTAGGGTTTAGGGTTTATCAAAGAGCCTAACTTCTTACAATGTAGGGTGTGGGATGTGGGATTTACCAGAGTTCTAGTTAGGATTGTCGTGCAGCTACCAGCTTCCTTTCCTCCTTGCATTGTTGAAGCGCCACGTGATTGGCTTGCAAGGTGTTCTTTCAGCCACTTCAGTACTTTGGCGGTGTGTCGCAGTTCGTACAATGCAAAACCGTCTAGCCGGAGCAGGCAGCCGGTGCAGAAGCTGCTATGTTAGTCAGTCTGGTGCAGCGAAACCTTACGCCCCAACACCCTAAAACCCTAAAACTAAAACCCCCCAAAACCAACCCACAACCACGCCACAGGTAAGTAGCCATTAAGTAAGAGAACCCCCGAATTAAAGGGTCCCTTCTTAGGAGTACTTGCACGACCACTTTGTGCCGAACCCAAAACCCTGGAAGCCCAAAACCTGCCTTAATGCCATGCAGTGCAAGATGTATACCTTGGGATGTTCCCCCTTATCTGACAGTCCTTAATAGGGATCCCTAAAACCCTACCCCCTAAACCCTAAACCCTAAACCCTAAACCCTAAACCCTAAACCCTAAACCCTAAACCCTAAACCCTAAACCCTAAACCCTAAACCCTAAATAGGGCTTATTCCTAGGCATCATAGTAGCCCCTAACATAAGGGGGTACAAGAGGGCCCCCCCCCCCCCCTGCCCCACTGCGAAAAACCAGCGCGGAGGAGCTCGAGATGCAGCTGCTTGCGGCGGAGGAGGCCCGAATCGGTTTAGGGTTTAGGGTTTAGGGTTTTGGGTTTAGGGTTTAGGGTTTAGGGTTTATCCAGAGAGATCTCAGCGTCAATGCTCGCTCTGCAGTAGTGAGCGTGATTCTGGAACCGGGCTGCTGTGAACCGAGGCCTTCTGTAAAAAGGGTTTAGGGTTTAGGGTTTATTGTTTGGGGTTTAGGGCTTAGGGCTTAGGGCTTAGGGTTTAGGGTTTATAGGGTTTAGGGTTTAGGGTCCAGGGTTTAGGGTTTAGGGTTTAGGGTTTGAAGGGATTCAAAGTCGGACCCCTAAGGTTGTACCTCTAAAGGTTCCCCTGAATATACCCCTAATATGGCCCCTATACTACCTTGTGGACGCTAAAAAGGGTCACCAAAACCCAAGGGTGCAACCTTAAGGGTCCGAGGTAGACTAGCTAGTGACGGTTTAGGGTTTAGGGTTTAGGGTTAGGGTTTAGGGTTTAGGGTTTAGGGTTTAAGGTTTAGGGTTTCGGGTTTAGGGTTTAGGGTTAGGGTTTAGGGTAAAACGGGGGTTTAGGGTAGTTAAAAGGTACATGGTTTCAAGGTTCAGCCGGTGGGTGCGGGCTTCGGAAACCCCAGAACCCCTCGCCCCTAAACCCTTTCTGAAAAACCCCCAAACCCCAAACCCCAAACCCCAAACCCTCAACCCTGAACCCTAAAACCCTAAACCCTCAAAACTCAACCCTAAACAAAGAAACCCTCAACCCTCAACCATAAACCCTCAACAAAAAACCCTCAACCCTAAACCCTAAACTTTGCCCTAAAACCTAAAACCCAAAACCCAAAACCCTAAACCCTAAACCCTAAACCCTAAACCCGACAGCTCCCCGAGTTTGGTTACCCAGGAGCGCAAGGCCAAGGAGGCGCAGAGGGTCGCGAAGAAGGCGGGTGTAGGTTTCAAGGTGCCCGGATCTTCCGAATTTTGGGTTTAGGGTTTAGGCTATTTAGGGTTTAGGGTTTAGGGTTTAGGGCCGAGGGTGCAGGGTTTAGGATTTAGGGCTTCGGGACTTATGCCTAACCGAAAACAAGAAGAATCCTGGTAAGATTTAAGCAGTGTTCCGCGCGAGTGGTGTATCACATGATCTACCACCACCCCAAAGAATGTAGAAAATGCGATTAATCCTTTAGGATGCTCCCCCTTATACTAACAGTCCTCAATCGAAGTTATAGTAGGCCGTCCTACAATCCCCATTAAGGACTGTCCAATAAATCCTGCTCAAAGGAGCCCCGGTTTGGGGTTTAGGGTTTAGGGTTGCCCGCCCCCCGCCGCCCCCCCCCCCCCCCCCTCACTTTCGACCCAAATCTCAAGACCCCAAGCCGAGCCCGTGGGGCGCTCATCGCCCCCCTCCCCCATGCCTAGACCCGAAACCCTAAACCCTAAACCCTAAACCCTTAACCCTTAACCCTAAACCCTAAACCCTAAGCAATGGGGCGGCTCTGCAAACTTTGGCCCCCCCCTCCCCCCCCCCCCCCCCTATTGGTGGCCCCCTTCTAAATATTCAGGCTCTGCAGTAATCATGGAAGCTCCTGGAAGGGACCAAAAACTGTAGAGAACCCCCCTTAGTTCACATATTCGGGGCGACATTATAATTTAAGGTCTATTCCTTTTTTTAAGGGGCCTTGGGCTCGCTGGGAACTGCCCCGACGATGGAGGCAGGCGCCAGCCCTCCCAAACCAGTGGCCGTGGAGCCAGCTGGGGAGGGGCCGGCAGAGGAGGTGCCGGCGGAGGACGGGGAGTGAAGGGGTTTGTACGTCATCTGCGGTGTAGGAGTGTAGGGTTTGGGGACTCGGGTTTAGGGTTTAGGGCTTAGGGTTCAACCGACTTGTGTAGGATTTCGGGAGGTTCTTGGGGAATCGCACCGCCCACAACAGACCGCAACAGATGGGCTTTTATCAGAGATGAAAGGGGGACCACGGGCCATCAGCCGTAAACCCTGTACTCTATTCGATACTCTCCTTAGGAATTGTTATTGTTATTCTTCTTCTTATTCTTATGACTGTTATATTATATGTATATATGATATGAAGCGCAAGGGGATATTAGAAGTACTATTTCTATTATGGACTTG